CTCTTTGTTTGTTACTAACTCTATATAATCTCATCTGTTTTTGTGAATTGCAGTCGGGATACGAGCGTTTATGCTGCTTGCGCTGCATACAGCCAAGAGACCACAACTATGGAACAACATGTGTATGCCGTGTTCCCAAACACTTGCGCGAAGAGAAAGTGGTTGAATGCGTTCACTGCGGTTGTCAAGGATGCGCGAGTGGGGATTAAATCTCACGCCACAGTTCCCCACTGTTGCTATATTGTATCTCTTGTCAAATCTGGATTATGTAGCCTAAAAACCCTGACTAAGCTCCCTTGCAAAACCTCTGCTTATCAACTCTGTGTTGTTGAAATTAGAAAACCGTTCCGGTTTGATATGTAATTGAAATTGGAAGGACGTCCCCGGTTTGGTATATAAATGAATTTAGAGAATGATTCCTGTTCGATTTGGGCTTTTAAAATTTATGACCAAACCCAAGTCTCTAATCAAAATTGAGAATTTTTTGATAAGCTAAAACTGTTAAGACTTGCAGCAGCAAAGGAAATTGGGTTGACTGCAAATTCTACTGATTAATAATAGTTGTCAATATATTTTATATGGATCAAGATTCGTCTTTGTTAAAGATTAGTATATATGGAAAAATTTTAATCTCATCGTATACAAGTATGTAAGCATGTATTTGGTCTTTTCCTTGTCCCCGTATATACGCATTTATTGTAATAAACAAATCAGAAATAAGCTTATTGACTTAATTATTCAATAAGCATAGCTATATTCTTAATACGCATAGCTCTTATTAATTTTTATCTGAAATTTCTGGTATCTTATTTCTTGCGATAGTTTCCTTGTTCAGAACATCTCCTACATTTGATTAGACACCTCCCACTTCTTAACATAAAGATTTTTGAGGTCAATTGGCTCAATATTCATATTGGACAAAACAATTAAGAATATAGGTATGCTTATTGAATAATTAAGTCAATAACCAAGTCATTGAAATAATGCCCATTGTAATCCTATATTTTGAGAACAAGAAGTTGTCAAGAAAAAAATGACTAGTTTCGTAAGAGGGAGGATGCAATCA